GTTTGGTTGAATTTCTTCAAAATACTGGTCTGGTCATCTGTTTTGTATATTGCCCTGTTCATACTATTTTAAACTGCTACGTTTTCTTACATATATTTCGATATGCCCCGTGCTGTCTATCATTTGTTGTTTAGTTTTTATATGTATTGCCTATCATTTGTTGTTTCGAAATTATTGGTCTTTTGTTGGGTAATGTATGACAAATATATGTTGAAAAACCTCGCCCGTAATTATAAATTATGTAATTCACTAACTGCTCCCGACATGTGTAACTTCAAGGCATATATATTTAAGCGGCGATCGATGTCTTTCAAAATTACTGCACTTTTCTTGTATCCCTGGTGCTTTCGACTGGAGAACCGTCGTACACAAGCATCGCACAAGTTGGCACTCCAAGGCGGGTGGGGAGCAAGAAGCTAAGGTGAACTGTGGTTTATTTTTATCAATAGTACCGCTTAAGTCGACGCTAGGGGCCGTCTTGACCTTGTTGTAGGGTATGAATGATTCGTTCATTTTTGAAGACCCTACATCAACTGTCAAGATGAAGAACAGGAATAAAAGTCCTGTTCATTGATAATTTTCTGTGTTTTCTATGTATTGTGTGCGATTTTGTCCCATGTACATTTAGTCCATATCCTTTCATTTTCTATGTAATGATGTTACCAAGGATTCGTGTAGTTACTATAGTTACTATACCTCCCCCCCCTATTTTTTGAATGGGCTTGTACTTGAGGTCAATTTTTTCAGGGATATTGATTCACTTGATGCTTTTGTCCATGTTAACTTTTTTGTAGAACTAATTGTTATTTTCACTGTTTCTCTCTATGCATTATAGTATTTAAAAAATGAAAACAACGTCTAATAAATTTCATGAGTACAAAGCGCTTTTCAGGATTTACTTCCATCAGGAAGCTCAAGGCTGAATATTTGAAAGTCAATGATGTATAATAACTAAAACAGTTCAACAGCTATATGACCAAAAATGACCTAAAAATAATAGAAAAATCCATCTAAGGTTAACTTTAACAGGGGGAGTTGAAACTTTTAAAGTTTCTTGATAATTTTTTAATTCATAAACTGACAATATAAGAAAGGTTTGATATAAATCATGTCAGTATCGAAGTATTGACTACTGAGCTGATGATATCTTTGGGGACTGATAGTCTAACAGCAGCGTTATTTACCCAATACTAGTATAATAACAAAAAATAATTACATCTTAAGCGCAATTACTCCAAATGGGATTGTCTAATTTTTCTGAAAATTACATAGAGATAAATCTGACCAGCTGCATAGGAGGATCCGGGGGGGGGGGGGGGGGGGGGTGGGGGCAGCAGGCCCCCCTTTTTGTGGAAAAAAATTTGATTTAATATATAGGGAATCACTGAAGCATGACTGGAGCGGCCCCCCTTAGGTCAGACAGCCCCCCCCCTTTATGAAAAGTTCTGGATCCGCCACTGGGCTGATCAAAAAATTGAGATGGGGAATGTGTCAAAGAGACAACAACCCGACCATAGAGCAGACAACAGCCGAAGGCTACCAATGGGTCTTCAATGCAGCGAGAAACTCCCGAACCCGGAGGCGTCCTTCAGCTGGCCCCTAAACAAATATGTATACTAGTTCAGTGATAATGGACGTCATACTAAATTCCAAATTATACACAAGAAACTAAAATCAAAAATTCGTAAGGGTCCCATGGAACCCAGTGTCTCGCCTATTTTTGCTGTTAATCGAAGGCCCAACAAAAATGAGGGAAAAAAAATAAAAATATTCCTCTCGATACTATCTTTTGATTGTAAGAAGCTTCTGTCCAAGTTTAGTAAAAATCCAGGATAGTTTATGAATCTAATAAATGTTTTAAAAACTTTAACTGCAGACTGTATGTAATGCTAACTGGAAGAAAAACTAAGTCCATTTATAAGTAAAATACGGAAAAACAGGAACAAAATTTCCTTCTAGATACTAGCTTTTGATCATTAACAAGCTTCTGTCCAAGTTTGGTACAAATCCAGGATAGTTTAAGAAAGTTATTAAAATTTTAAAAACTTTAACCACAGAGTGAATGTAATGTTTCCTGGCAGAAAAACTAAGTCCATTTATAAGTAAAATACGGAAAAAATGGAATTTTTTTTTACAAAATTTACTTCTGGATACTATCTTATGATCATAAACAAGCTTCTGTCCTAGTAAATATTTGTGGACGCCGCCGCCGCCGACGACGACGACGACGCCGACGCCGACGGAATGAAGGATCGCTATGTCTCGCTTTTTCGACAAAAGTCGAAGGCTCGACAAAAATGATACAAGACTAACAAAGGCCAGAGGCTGCTGACTTGGGACAGGCGCAAAAATGCGGCGGGGTTAAACATGTTTTTTGAGATCTCAACCCTCCCCCTATACCTATAGCCAATGTAGATCAATGTAGAAAAAACAAACGGACAACAGTACGCACAGTAAAACTCAGTTTAAGAGAAGTCCGAGTCCAATGTCAGAAAAAGAAAAAACAGAAAATAAACAAAATGACAATAATACATAAATAACAACAGACTACTAGCAGTTACTGACATGCCAGCTCCAGACCTCAATTAAACTGATTGAAAGATTATGTCTTCATCATATGAATATCAGGCATGTATTATCAAAAAACGGATGATTTTGTGCATTTTTCAAACGAAAAAGCTTGAGGAAACCCTTGCCGCAAATTAGGATCCAAAATGTTCTGTGGCTAAAAGTTGCCAATGATGAAATTGAATCCCTAGACACAAAAAATTTCTGGATCATGGATGGAGGCCAAAGTAAATTATGTTGGTAAACTGTTGACTTTATGTCTTGTTTTTTTATTTTTTTTTATAGTATTATGCAAATGTTGAAATCAAAATGGCAATATTTAAACATGTTAACTTTGCAAAATATTCAAGTCAATGAACCTTGACTGCTAAGGAGCAGGGCAAATTAAGCTCCATGGAAATAATATGTGACAATGCTCAAACAACTGCATACCAAATATCATCGACCTACCACTAGCTGTTCCCCATAAACTGACCTAATCGCAAACTAATACATGTTTACAAAGCAAAAATTTCAAAGTCAATAGACCATGACTGAGGGGGCGGGTCAAATAATCTCCATGGAAATAATATGTGACAATGCTTATACAACTGCATACCAAATATCATTGACCTAAACTGGACCTAATCACAAACTAGTATATTGTTGACACCACAACTTATACCACAGTCAGGAACAGTACACCCAAGTCTGTTTTTTTATACTTTGTCAAGGTGAGAAAAAAGCTTTCAAGAATTATTGAAAATTTGACCAAGACTGACATTACAACACAAATAATGCATATTTGAGGGGTCAATCCTTTCTTTTTTAATGTGATGTGCCAAAAAGAAGTTATTTTGTATTAATAGTTATATCCTAACTATTTCTATGTGAAATTTGTAGTATTTTGGCCTGATTAAAAAAAAACATAATTCTGGCCTTATAGTAGTTTCACCAGAGATTTTTTTAAAAAGTTTACAACAAGGGTAGCCACGTGACAATAAAAGCTAATTTTCAGCAGAAAATGCACTTCACAATCTATACCTCCAAATTAGCACATGTGAAACCACATAATTATACAAACTGACCACTAAAAACACAGCAAAAAATCTCATTTGTGTACAGAGCGCAGTGTAGCATGAAGGAACATTAACAGACCAAAAAAGAGTTAAAAAAAATATTTTAAACCAAATGTACTCATTGTGTGCTTTGAAAAAATTGTACAATGGTTCACAATTTTGTAAAACTTGTCTGATCCTATTTATATCCTGGACCTGAAATAAAATAATCATACACTTATCGTAACCAAGTGATTGAAATAAAATCCTGTGAAACACCCTTCAGAAACCTCTTTCCTGTGACCTGCATTTGCCATCCAGATTTGGCAAACTAGATCTAAGATATCTAGTGATCAGATACACCTAGCTGCTTGCAGAAAACCATCAAAATGAACCTTGAACTGTATTTGATGATCCATGATATTGTGTACAATTTCAAAGCATCAATTTGGCCAAATTATCCAGAAATTAAAGAAATACCATTTTTTAAGGTAATCTAAGGGCATTACTATTGAATGGGAAATGTGAAAAACATCAAAATCTAACTTGACCTGACTTCATGGTCTATATGGCATTGTTTTTTTTTCAAGTGTTTGTTCTCAAGCAGTATAGTCAGTACCAGAAAACCAAATTTTTAAGGTATCTTGGGGCACATTTCTCTTGAATGGTAAATTCCAAAACCATATTAAAAGCAAACTAGACCTGTGTTCATTTCAACAGATTTGGTAAAGCAGTATTGTCATCGAAACCCAGATTTTAGCGGTAAATAAGGCATTTCTTGTTCAATGTAAATGTCAAAACCATCAAAATCAAACTTTTCCTGCATTTTATGGTCCATGACATTGCCTTGATATATTTTAATATATATATATACATGTATATATATATAAAGTGCCTAGAAAATCAACCTAACAATGTTAGAGTAGATCTGATTCTTTACATCCTCCCGGACTGGGTCTGGAACCTGTACTTTTCAGTTCATACTTCTACGACAACACCCAACACCGACAACACCGCCTAGCATTGCGCAGACGCCTTATCTCCTCATCTAACTATAGCTGATTATATACTATATATAGTATCATAACTTCTTTCCCTCAAATAAATAGGCTCAACAAAACAAATGTTTGAATTGTTTTACAATTGTCATTTCGGGGGCTTTTATAGCTGACTATGCGGTATGGGTTTTGCTCATTGTTGAAGGCCGTACAGTGACCTATAGTTGTTAATTTCAATGTCATTTGGTCTCTTGTGGAGTGTTGTCTAATTGGCAATCACACCAGATCTTATTTTTATATATTCATACTGCCAATAACCAAGACAGCTTGAAGGACATTGGATTCTTTCCACTAAATACATTTAACCTAACTACTTAAAGAAAAACACAACACAAACTTATGTTTTTTGACTAGCTCGAGTACTGCATATTGTGAGCTGCCGATTTAATAAGACAAATTACACACTATACATTATACAATATGAATTCAATAACTTATACTAGAAAAATAATCTCATGTCAACCTTTTGCATTTGAAAAACTGAATAATCTCATGTCAACCTTTTGCATTTGAAAAACTGAATAATCTCATGTCAACCTTTTGCATTTGAAAAACTGAATAATCTCATGTCAACCTTTTGCATTTGAAAAACTGAATAACTACATTTCAATGTTCCGTGGCCAACCAGGAAAAACCCATTTTAGGAAACCTGTGTCCTTTTGTCAATGCCAGCGAAACTCTAAGTGTAGGACCTCACTCCAGGAAATGAGTAAAAGAAAACATAATTTTGTTTGAATATATGTAAGTAAAAAGAAATTTTGTTTGAATATATGTAAGTAAAAAGAAATCTTGTCATTAGGACTACGGCTATAAAAAATTTGGTACAAAAGTCGAAATACGATTACGTTTGTATAGCCATTCCACCTACATGAAAATTAATTTAAAAAATACAAAATTATGCAAATCTTTGTTCTCTTAAAGATCCTTAAAAAAAATACAATGTTCACAGTACAAATTTCAGTTCACTTTACAACCTAATTTTTGGTGCTAAAATTCCTACGCCTACATGTATTACATGTGTGCAAGAAGACAATCAATTCCTGTTATACTTATATGCCTTGGGAATTTTTTATTATTAAAAACAACATACATGAATATAACTCATAAAGCATAAAAATATATGATAGACAACCTAAATAAAATCATTATAACTGCAGGCGACTTAGCCTTAAAAAAGAAGAAAACTATGAAAAAATATCAAAAGAAAGTTAATAACAGAAAGCAAAAGTTATGGTATGATTACAGTCTTAAGAAAATAAAACAAGAACTAGATCATAAATGCAATCGATTGCAAAAGTATAGCAATGACCAATACATTAGAGGGTCATATTTTAAATGCCTAAAACATTACAGAAAAACCAGAAAAGATAAATGTAAGTTAAAGAGTTATTTCGTTAATAAGCTAGATAATCTTAAAAATGAAAATCCTAAAGCCTATTGGAAATTAGTTGAAAAATTAAAAGGAGATAATGATAAAAAGGAAACATATATCAGTTTGGAAGATTGGGAGAATCATTTTAAATCCCTAAATAAAAATACAATTGCTGAAAATGAATCAATTCTACAGGAGCTTAATAATTTAGAAAAAACTAATATTTTTAATGAATTAAGACTTTCAAGATTACAGAGTCTGAACTTAAATAAAAGCTATTAAATCTTTAAAGAATGGCAAATCCTGTGGATTAAATATGATACTAAATGAAATAATTAAGTACTGCCAATCAATTTTTAACCCACTATTTTTAAAAGCTTTTAATAGATTTTTTTCTGCAGGAATCTAACCTAAAATATGGCCAAAGAGAATATTTCAACTATACATAAAAAGGGGTCAATATATGATCCTTCAAACTATAGAGGTATAACAATAAGTGACACTATTGGTCAACTTTTTAACAGAATATTAAATAATAGACTGACAGCCTTTTTTGAGAAGAAAAAACTCATTTGTAAAGAGCAAATTGGATTTAAAAGAGGATGTAGTACATCTGATCATATGTTTGTAATAAATACTCTTATACAAAAAATACATCAGAAATAAATCCCAACAATTATATGCATGTTTTGTAGACATTAAACGTGCATTTGACTCTGTATGGCACCTAGGACTTTTCTATAAGCTTAAAAAAACTGGTGTCGGTTCAAAATTTTATAATATACTTAACAAAACAAAATACATTATCATATTCAAATATATAAATTTGAAACTCTGACTACATGTTTCGGTTCCTAGTGCACCTTCATCAGGATAAAAACCATAGGCTAGTAAAAAAATGGTGAAGTGATAATTTGCATGTCGCAATGTCAACAAGGTGAGTAATTATAAATAGAAAATAAAAGATGATATGAAAGTAAACTTTAAAAAGAATGTTAAATAAAATTTGTGTATTAATAATGTGTTAAATCAACTTTCCAGAGGTTACTGCTTCCAAGTTGGCTTCACCCAGAGTTACATGCTTCTAATTGGCTTTGGTCTGCCAGAGGTACTACTTCCAATCAGGTTCACCCGACAGAGATGCTCCCAAATGGCCTCGCAACGACAGACGGTACGTGCTTCCAATTAGCTTCACAAATTGTGAAATGCAAATTATCACTTGCGGATTTTGTACTCTTCTGTAGTTTTAGTTCTGATTTAGAATTTATCAAATACATTCTTTAACTGGTTTTAACAAGAGTTATATGAACCATTCCTATTGGAAACCTTTCCTTCAAGTTAGAAAGACCCCAAAGGGTGACTGGGGAATAGAAATATGGTCACGCTTGGTCTTCTTCAGACTGGCAGTGGGGCTTCTGTTTGGAAGTGCAGGATGTATGAATTCGCAGCCATGTCCGGTCAGAATGGGGACGTTAAATCCAATGCCTTGTGTAGAGTGCCAAGCTGTATACATGTTAATAACCTTTGCAACAACTCTGAGGGATACGGAGAATTAATCAAACAATTATATCCTTCAGCCACAGTAATAGTTATCTGAAAAAGAAATAGACACTTTTCAATTTTCTGTCATATTTTAAGAAACTGAAATAGGCAACAAATAGCAAACTGGGAATTACAATTAAAGGAGAGAAACTTTCCAAAATAATCATTTTTCCCTTCCTTAAACTTGACATGTCTTTCCAGAAAACATTAAATTGTAATAAGATTATAAAAACCATGGGAATTTACAAGATCTTAAATAAAAAAGTTTATAAATCTATATAATAGTTCTTTCTTACCTTTAAAATTCAACTCCAATGGCCATTTCCAACATCAATCTGTAAGGACAAGCTGTAATGCTAACCTGAAATATATAATGCTTAGTCATTCAAAATAGTTAGAAAAGAATCTTTGTTGCTATACTTATGTTCATTATATAGAAGTAGGTGATATATAACATATCAAGGTAAAAGAATATGCAGAGAACACATCAATGTGACGAAACCCAACAACACAAACAAATATGACTTCTATGTAATCAATTCAAATCTTTTAAACATTTATATGAGGACTTTGTCCCCAATAACAGAGGGAAAATCAATAAAACAAAAAATAAATATAAAAATAAATATACAAATGTAATCAAAATAATTAACTTTTTTAGTTTCCCGCATTTGTGCAGAAATCTTTTCTCTTCTTGTTAACAACTCACAATGGCAAACAGTCCTACCAAGTTTGAGAGCTTTCTGTCAAATGGTCTTAGGAGTTGCATTCATAAGGTGACACTTACAATACTCAAAATAAATAGTCAAAGTCCCATAGAAATGGCCAGGTCTAAATAATGGTATATGGCCTTTTTTAGGCGACCATACCGTATGGGATTTTTCTTATTGTTGAAGGCCGTACCGTTGCCTATAATTGCTTTCATCCACTTCATTTGAACTTTGGTGGACAGTTGTCTCATTGGCAATCATACCACATCTCCATATTTTTATAACTATACATGACGGGAAACAAGCCCATTACGTATGGGAGCTTTCTGTAAGAGTCTCAAGAGTTGTGGTGTTCAGAAGGTGTTTTATGGTCATAATACTTAAAATTGCAATCAACATCCCATCACTTCTTTAATAATAGTCGAATCAAAATAGTGGTATATTATGGTCAACTACACGATGGAAAACAATTTAACCAAGTATGAAGGCTTTCCGTCTAATCCCATATCCCGCTTATCATTGTAATAATAACCCTTGTAATTTCATGTCTACTCCCAAACTTTTTCCCGCACAATACTTTCCCTTTCCCATGTCACGGTTATAAAAAATCGGCCAATCCAACTTCACACTTGGACCCCCATGAGACCACATGCCAGGCTTCTGTCATAAAAACTCACAGGCGTAACAAAATTCAAGGGCATTTACATAATCTGTAATCAACAAGTTCATAAATCTATGCAATGGTTCTTTCTTACCTTAAAAGTCAGCTCCAATGATCATTCTAAACCTCAACCCATACTGAAAAGCAGTAATTATTGCTAGCCTGAAAAAGTAAAATGCTTAGTCAATAAAAATTCTTAAAAAATAAATAGAATCGGTGTTGGAATATTGCTTGCATATTATTGTGGATTTCTTTATTTTCTTGGGCACCAATTTATTTTATATTAAGGAACAATTGTATTTTTGTGGGTACTTCTTTTCGTGGTTTTGCCAAAGTCTGCATACAAAAATTAAGTCTTTACAATGACATCTATGTAACCAATTCAAATCTTTAGAACATTTAGTCAAGAAAAAAACAACATTTTACCTCTTACAACTTTAAGCCTTGAGCACATTTTATTTCCTTTAAACTTATTTTACAATAATAAAAGGAGTAGGCCTGGTAAGACCCCTTTTTGGCCCCAAAATATAGCATTTTTACAAATTTGTTAAAATGTAAACTTTTAGCTATTTATTGCAAAGAAGAATACTTCTGTTCCATTAATATGGGCTGATTTTGTCAATACAATGCACATGCATCAGGTAATAACATCAGAAATTCATGCAATATTACTGAAATCTTCACAATTTTAGCATTTGTGCTAATTTTACGGTGGTTTTTGTCTAAAATGGAAGTGGCCGCATTTGTGTTCCGTCTTAATATTTAAATATATGTTGTATTTGATGATAATACATAACATATATAAAGGTTGAGACTGAACACAAATGCGGCCACTTTCATTTTAGACAAAAACCATCTGAAAAGTGACATTTTATGGATTATTTGATAGATTTTTCGTATTTAAGCCTCTATTTGAGTGTCTTTAATGACCAAATCAGTCCAAATCTTTTACATACACTAATTGAATCGACTGAAGTAGACACTTGCGTGTTTAAAAAATGTCAAAAATCTTTCATTAGATGTACTTCGAATATTAGGCCAAAACGAGCCCTTACCAGACCCTCTCCTTTGTTTAAATAGAGGAATTATATACCTACTTGTATATTAGAAATATTATACCACCAAGTCTTACTCCCCATTCATGAAAACATTGGCACTAATATAACCTAAAAAGGAATTAGAATTGACACAAATTATATATTTTACAAATCTGTTAAATTGCCAACCTAAATTTTTTTTTAAATTCTGTATTCTAATTGCATAATAGTGAGTTATCTCCCACTGAAAGAAACATTCTTGCTGTTTATTGTACTAGTCTCCCCTTGAAGGATAAAATTCTATCTCAGGATTTACTTTTCACGTTATAAAATTTTATTTGTGTACCTGGAAAACATTTGTCAAACTGATAAATTATCTATTTCTGTGTTGTAAATGTGCAAAATAAGAAAAATGTGTGTTGCCTTATGTACTTTATCACATTTTTCTAGATAATGTGCAGAAATTGGTTGGCTTAAATATACTTACGTTATTTCTTTCATGTCATGGCCTCAGACTTGGGTGAAGATTAATGTAATAATTAATCTTCCTTGGAGCTTCAATATAGAAAGAAAAAACTGGCATTAATGGCAGCGAACATCATTGGTCAATTGCCCTTTTAGACTATATATCATTCATTATTTTCATTTTAAATAGTAATGAAGACAGTTAAATGATATAATAATTATTTCCAAAATTAATGTGTGCTTCGAATTATCAGAAAATGGTGGCTAAGTTAACCAAAACAATCTGATGTGTACATTTTGAACAGAAAACAATCTAAATCAAGCCATATTTTCCCAATTACTTAAAAAAAAAAATGCAGATAAATATGTATATATCCAAATTGTCAATGTTAAGCGACTATTTGTTGTAATAATTATTTCAGAAATTAATGTGATGCATGTTTTATGTCAAATCCTAAATTGGGGTATAAGTATATTTAATATTACAATACATTCTTATTAAAATATATTTCATAAGAGTATAAATTTGACAAAGAAATTTTGGACCCTTTTGTAATGAAATTTCAAGCAGTTTTTCCAGGAGAAAACTGATTTTAAATACCTAACAAATATTATCATAGTTTAAAGTACAATTGTAATAACCAAATACTTACATGTTATTTATCTCCAATTTTCAATGAAATAATCTTCATCTTCTGCGACTGAAACTTGGTAAGGCCTGCTACTTTAAGCATCTTGTCCTGGTCTTCGCCAATGGCTCTATTTTCAGGGTCTTTGCTGTAAACATCTTCTTCATAGTATCTGAAACAAAAACAAAATTATTTTAGACAGCTGCTGGTAAACTCAAATAAAATATACATATATTCAACAGTGAGCCAAAAAAAAAACCAAAACAGTTCAAAAATATCAAACCAAATATAAAACTTTTAATAAAGTTTGCTTATTTAAAAAATAAAACTTTTTTCAAAATATTTAGAAAGAAAAAACTGGCATTAATGGCAGCCAACATCATTGGTCAATTGCTCTTTTTGACTATATATCATTAACTATTTTCGTTTTAAATCTTTATTTTAATCAGTAATGAAGACGGTTTAATGATATAATCATTATTTTCGAAATTAATGTGTGCGTCAAATGATCACAAGTTGGTGGCTATTCAAAACAATCTGATGTTTACACTTGAACAGAAATGATTAAAATTCAACTGAATTTCAAACAATCTAAATCAGGTCATATTTTCCCCAATTACTAAATGAAAAATGCAGATGAATATGTAAATTTCCAGGGAAAAACTGATTTTAATGACCTAACAAATATGAACATAGTTTTAAGTACAGTATTATTGCTTGCATATTATTGTGGATTTATTTATTTTCTTGGGCACCAATTTATTTTATATTAAGGAACAATTGTATTTTTGTGGGTACTTCATTTCGTGGTTTTGCCAAAGTCTGCATACAAAAATTAAGTCTTTACAATGACATCCATGTAACCAATTCAAATCTTTAGAACATTTAGTCAAGAAAAAAACAACATTTTACCTCTTACAACTTTAAGCCTTGAGCACATTTTATTTCCTTTAAACTTATTTTTTAATAATAAAAGGAGTAGGCTTGGTAAGACCCCTTTTTGGCCCCAAAATATAGCATTTTTACAAATTTGTTAAAGTGTAAACTTTTAGCTATTTATTGCAAAGAAGAAAACTTCTGTTCCATTAATATGGGCCGATTTTGACAAAACAATGCACATGCATTGGGTAATAACATCAGAAATTCATGCAATATTACTGAAATCTTCACAATTTTAGCATTTGTGCTAATTTTATGGTGGTTTTTGTCTAAAATGGAAGTGGCCGCATTTGTGTTCCGTCTTAATATTTAAATATATGTTGTATTTGATGATAATACATAACATATATAAAGGTTGAGACTGAACACGAATGCGGCCACTTTCATTTTAGACAAAAACCTTCTGAAAAGTGACATTTTATGGATTATTTGATAGATTTTTCGTATTTAAGCCTCTATTTGAGCATCTTTAATGACCAAATCAGTCCAAATCTTTTACATACACTAATTGATTGACTGAAGTAGACACTTGCGTGTTTAAAAAATGTCAAAAATCTTTCATTAGATGTACTTCGAATATTAGGCCAAAACGAGCCCTTACCAGACCTTCTCCTTTGTTTAAATAGAGGAATTATATACCTACTTGTATATTAGAAATATTATACCACCAAGTCTTACTCCCCATTCATGAAAACATTGGCACTAATATAACCTAAAAAGGAATTAGAATTGACACAAATTATATATTTTACAAATCTGTTAAATTGCCAACCTAAATTTTTTTTTAAATTCTGTATTCTAATTGCATAATAGTGAGTTATCTCCCACTGAAAGAAACATTCTTGCTGTTTATTGTACTAGTCTCCCCTTGAAGGATAAAATTCTATCTCAGGATTTACTTTTCACGTTATAAAATTTTATTTGTGTACCTGGAAAACATTTGTCAAACTGATAAATTATCTATTTCTGTGTTGTAAATGTGCAAAATAAGAAAAATGTGTGTTGCCTTATGTACTTTATCACATTTTTCTAGATAATGTGCAGAAATTGGTTGGCTTAAATAAACTTACTTATTTCTTTCATGTCATGGCCTCAGACTTGGGTGAAGATTAATGTAATAATTAATCTTCCTTGGAGCTTCAATATAGAAAGAAAAAAATGGCATTAATGGCAGCAAACATCATTGGTCAATTGCCCTTTTAGACTATATATCATTCATTATTTTCATTTTAAATAGTAATGAAGACAGTTAAATGATATAATAATTATTCCCAAAATTAATGTGCTTCGAATTATCAGAAAATGGTAGATAAGTTAACCAAAACAATCTGATGTGTACATTTTGAACAGAAATGATTAAAAATTAACTGAATTTCAAACAATCTAAATCAGGTCATATTTTCCCCAAATACTTAAAAAAAAATGCAGATAAATATGTATATATCCAAATTGTCAATGTTAAGCGACTATTTTTTGTAATAATTATTTCAGAAATTAGTGTGATGCATGTTTTATGTCAAATCCTAAATTGGGGTATAAGTATATTTAATATTACAATACATTCTTATTAAAATATATTTCATAAGAGTATAAATTTGACAAAGAAATTTTGGACCATTTTGTAATGAAATTTCAAGCAGTTTTTCCAGGAGAAAACTGATTTTAAATACCTAACAAATATTATCATAGTTTAAAGTACAATTGTAATAACCAAATACTTACATGTTATTTATCTCCAATTTTCAATGAAATAATGAAATCTTCTGCAACTGAAACTTGGTAAGGCCTGCTACTTTAAGCATCTTGTCCTGGTCTTCGTCAATGGCTCCATTTTCGGGTCTTTGCTGTAAACATCTTCTTCATAGTATCTGAAACAAAAACAAAATTATTTATAGACAGATGCTAATAAACTCAAATAAAATTTACATATATTCAACAGTGAGCCAAAAAAAAGACCGTTCAAAAATTTCAAACCAAATATAAAACTTTTAATGATGTTTGCTTATTTAAAAAATAAAACTTTTTTCAAAATATTCAGAAAGAAAAATTTTGCATTAATGGCAGCCAACTCTTTTTGACTATATATCATTAACTATTTTCATTTTAAATCTTTATTTTAATCAGTAATGATGGTTTAACGATATAATCATTATTTTCGAAATTAATGTGTGCGTCAAATTATCACAAGTTGGTGGCTATTCAAAACAATTTGAAGTATACACTTGAACAGAAATGATTAAAATTCAACTGAATTTCAAACAATCTAAATCAGGTCATATTTTCCCAAAATCAGGTCATATTTTCCCAATCACTTGTAGAAAAATGCAGATGAATATGTAAATTTCCAGGGAAAAACTGATTTTAATGACCTAACAAATATGAACATAGTTTTAAGTACAATTGTATAGCCAAATACTTACATGCTACTCATTTCCTATCTTCAATGAAACAATCTTCATGTTCTGTGACTGACTGGAACTTGGTAAGGCCTACTACTGTAATAGAACTAAAATTATAATTAGACTAAAATTAAATATACTTTCCTTTAATTTTCTTTCCTGGTCTTCGTCAATGGCTCCATTTTCAGGGTCTTTGCTGTAAACATCTTCTTCATAGCATCTTAAACAAAAACAAAATTATTTATAGACAGATGCTGATAAACTCAAATAAAATTTACATAAATTCAACAGTGAGCAAAAAAAAAAAGACAGTTCAAAAATATCAAACCAAATATAAAACTTTTAATAAAGTTTGCTTATTTAAAAAATAAAACTTTTTTCAAAATATTTAGAAAGAAAAAACTGGCATTAATGGCAGCCAACATCATTGGTCAATTGCTCTTTTTGACTATATATCATTAACTATTTTCATTTTAAATCTTTATTTTAATCAGTAATGAAGACGGTTTAATGATATAATCATTATTTTCGAAATTAATGTGTGCGTCAAATTATCACAAGTTGGTGGCTATTCAAAACAATCTGATGTATACACTTGAACAGAAATGATTAAATTTCAACCGAATTTCAAACAATCTAAATCAGGTCATATTTTCCAAATTACTTGTAGAAAAATGCAGATGAATATGTAAATTTCCAGGGAAAAACTGATTTTAATGACCTAACAAATATGAACATAGTTTTAAGTACAATTGTATAGCCAAATACTTACATGCTACTCATTTCCTATCTTCAATGAAACAATCTTCATGTTCTGTGACTGACTGGAACTTGGTAAGGCCTGCTACTGTAATAGAACTAAAATTATAATTAGACTAAAATTAAATATACTTTCCTTTAATTTTCTTTTCCTGGTCTTCGTCAATGGCTCCATTTTCGGGGTCTTTGCTGTAAACATCTTCTTCATAGCATCTTAAACAAAAACAAAATTATTTATAGACAGATGCTGATAAACTCAAATAAAATTTACATATATTCAACAGTGAGCAAAAAAAAAAGACAGTTCAAAAATATCAAACCAAATATAAAACTTTTAATAAAGTTTGCTTATTTAAAAAATTAACTTTTTTCAAAATATTTAGAAAGAAAAAACTGGCATTAATGGCAGCCAACATCATTGGTCAATTGCTCTTTTTGACTATATATCATTAACTATTTTCATTTTAAATCTTTATTTTAATCAGTAATGAAGACGGTTTAATGATATAATCATTATTTTCGAAATTAATGTGTGCGTCAAATTATCACAAGTTGGTGGCTATTCAAAACAATCTGATGTATACACTTGAACAGAAATGATTAAATTTCAACCGAATTTCAAACAATCTAAATCAGGTCATATTTTCCAAATTACTTGTAGAAAAATGCAGATGAATATGTAAATTTCCAGGGAAAAACTGATTTTAATGACCTAACAAATATGAACATAGTTTTAAGTACAATTGTATAGCCAAATACTTACATGCTACTCATTTCCTATCTTCAATGAAACAATCTTCATGTTCTGTGACTGACTGGAACTTGGTAAGGCCTGCTACTGTAATAGAACTAAAATTATAATTAGACTAAAATTAAATATACTTTCCTTTAATTTTCTTTTCCTGGTCTTCGTCAATGGCTCCATTTTCGGGGTCTTTGCTGTAAACATCTTCTTCATAGCATCTTAAACAAAAACAAAATTATTTATAGACAGATGCTGATAAACTCAAATAAAATTTACATATATTCAACAGTGAGCAAAAAAAAAAGACAGTTCAAAAATATCAAACCAAATATAAAACTTTTAATAAAGTTTGCTTATTTAAAAAATTAACTTTTTTCAAAATATTTAGAAAGAAAAAACTGGCATTAATGGCAGCCAACATCATTGGTCAATTGCTCTTTTTGACTATATATCATTAACTATTTTCATTTTAAATCTTTATTTTAATCAGTAATGAAGACGGTTTAATGATATAATCATTATTTTCGAAATTAATGTGTGCGTCAAATTATCACAAGTTGGTGGCTATTCAAAACAATCTGATGTATACACTTGAACAGAAATGATTAAATTTCAACCGAATTTCAAACAATCTAAATCAGGTCATATTTTCCCAATTACTTGTAGAAAAATGCAGATGAATATGTAAATTTCCAGGGAAAAACTGATTTTAATGACCTAACAAATATGAACATAGTTTTAAGTACAATTGTATAGCCAAATACTTACATGCTACTCATTTCCTATCTTCAATGAAACAATCTTCATGTTCTGTGACTGACTGGAACTTGGTAAGGCCTGCTACTGTAATAGAACTAAAATTATAATTAGACTAAAATTAAATATGCTTTCCTTTAATTTTCTTTTCCTGGTCTTCATCAATGGCTCCATTTTCGGGGTCTTTGCTGTAAACATCTTCTTCATAGCATCTTAAACAAAAACAAAATTATTTATAGACAGATGCTGATAAACTCAAATAAAATTTACATATATTCAACAGTGAGCAAAAAAAAAAGACAGTTCAAAAATATCAAACCAAATATAAAACTTTTAATAAAGTTTGCTTATTTAAAAAATAAAACTTTTTTCAAAATATTTAGAAAGAAAAAACTGGCATTAATGGCAGCCAACATCATTGGTCAATTGCTCTTTTTGACTATATATCATTAACTATTTTCATTTTAAATCTTTATTTTAATCAGTAATGAAGACGGTTTAATGATATAATCATTATTTTCGAAATTAATGTGTGCGTCAAATTATCACAAGTTGGTGGCTATTCAAAACAATCTGATGTATACACTTGAACAGAAATGATTAAATTTCAACCGAATTTCAAACAATCTAAATCAGGTCATATTTTCCCAATTACTTGTAGAAAAATGCAGATGAATATGTAAATTTCCAGGGAAAAACTGATTTTAATGACCTAACAAATATGAACATAGTTTTAAGTACAATTGTATAGCCAAATACTTACATGCTACTCATTTCCTATCTTCAATGAAACAATCTTCATGTTCTGTGACTGACTGGAACTTGGTAAGGCCTGCTACTGTAATAGAACTAAAATTATAATTAGACTAAAATTAAATATACTTTCCTTTAATTTTCTTTTCCTGGTCTTCGTCAATGGCTCCATTTTCGGGGTCTTTGCTGTAAACATCTTCTTCATAGCATCTTAAACAAAAACAAAATTATTTATAGACAGATGCTGATAAACTCAAATAAAATTTACATATATTCAACAGTGAGCAAAAAAAAAAAGACAGTTCAAAAATATCAAACCAAATATAAAACTTTTAATAAAGTTTGCTTATTTAAAAAATTAACCTTTTTTCAAAATATTTAGAAAGAAAAAACTGGCATTAATGGCAGCCAACATCATTGGTCAATTGCTCTTTTTGACTATATATCATTAACTATTTTCATTTTAAATCTTTATTTTAATCAGTAATGAAGACGGTTTAATGATATAATCATTATTTTCGAAACTAATGTGTGCGTCAAATTATCACAAGTTGGTGGCTATTCAAAACAATCTGATGTATACACTTGAACAGAAATGATTAAATTTCAACCGAATTTCAAACAATCTATTTCAGGTCATATTTTCCCAATTACTTGTAGAAAAATGCAGATGAATATGTAAATTTCCAGGGAAAAACTGATTTTAATGACCTAACAAATATGAACATAGTTTTAAGTACAATTGTATAGCCAAATACTTACATGCTACTCATTTCCTATCTTCAATGAAACAATCTTCATGTTCTGTGACTGACTGGAACTTGGTAAGGCCTGCTACTGTAATAGAACTAAAATTATAATTAGACTAAAATTAAATATACTTTCCTTTAATTTTCTTTTCCTGGTCTTCGTCAATGGCTCCATTTTCGGGGTCTTTGCTGTAAACATCTTCTTCATAGCATCTTAAACAAAAACAAAATTATTTATAGACAGATGCTGATAAACTCAAATAAAATTTACATATATTCAACAGTGAGCAAAAAAAAAAAGACAGTTCAAAAATATCAAACCAAATATAAAACTTTTAATAAAGTTTGCTTATTTAAAAAATAAAACTTTTTTCAAAATATTTAGAAAGAAAAAACTGGCATTAATGGCAGCCAACATCATTGGTCAATTGCTCTTTTTGACTATATATCATTAACTATTTTCATTTTAAATCTTTATTTTAATCAGTAATGAAGACGGTTTAATGATATAATCATTATTTTCGAAATTAATGTGTGCGTCAAATTATCACAAGTTGGTGGCTATTCAAAACAATCTGATGTATACACTTGAACAGAAATGATTAAATTTCAACCGAATTTCAAACAATCTAAATCAGGTCATATTTTCCCAATTACTTGTAGAAAAATGCAGATGAATATGTAAATTTCCAGGGAAAAACTGATTT